AAAAAAAAAAAGCCCCATCTGGGCAGCAAATTGTGAAGCAGTGAGGCCTGGGACACATCTCCCATACTGCCAGCCCTTAATCATCCCAAACTCCCTCTGGCTTCTTGTTGGCAGCTTTTCACCCTCTTCAAATGAAAGGGTTAGTAACTTAATGTTTCCTTTCTTCCAACTGTGAAAATTCTTACTTTTGAAAGTAAGAATTACCTATTTTGAAAGTAGGTATTTCACAATGACATCATGACACAAAAAGGAACCAGGTATTTTTAAAAAGTTATGTAACTACTGAAGTAATAAGGTAATTAAAGAACAGACAAAAATGAAATTATCTTGGAAATTATTTTCACAGGGGCTTCAATTTTGAGACATTAAAGCAAAATGAAAGCTGCAAGGTGTTCAATGGTTTTCAAAATGCATGGTTAAGTTTATTGGTAAGAAATAGGCTCCTAAGTGGATGCAAAAAAGCATGTGTTTGTTCAGTCCAACTATGCGATTTATGTACTTCAGTTTTAAAAAAAAGTCTTCTGCATAAGTTTAAGGATATGACTGTAGAAGAAAACGATTTGTGCTTGGCTACTGTAGACATTCACAATCAAGATGCCTTCCGCAACAAATTAAAATGCTTAATTTCATGAAAGCAATATATTAGACCCTTTAATGTTTAAAATGTTTCAAAAATGCTTCAAGACAAAAACAAAAACCTTTCTAGAATAAAAGTAGTAATTCTTGTCTAAAATATTCTCTTAGATTTAAATGCAGCATCAGTAGTTCCAGAAAAACTCATTGTTCTTGATTTAGTAACACTCATTTTTTAAGGGCAAAAATCATCCAGTATACAAAGACTGAGTAGTACATCTCTTATATAGTTACCTTTCTTAAAGAGTGGAGAGTGGCTCAGGAGATGCCATCCACATAAATGAAGCAACAGTGAAAACAGAGCTGGACCTGACTGGATTTGTAAGTGTGTCCTAGGCAGAACACCTGGTGACATCTAGACCTGTAAGGGCAGGCTGCTGTCCAAGGCACCAGCAGCAGCTACATCTCAGAGAGTTGACCCAATGTAACAGAAGGGGGAAAAGAAGCTGCCCCATTGTATTGCTTCAAAGTAGGAATCATGGCATGCCATGTTTATTTGTTGACTGAGCAACTTTCCATTTCTAATCATCATTCTGATTATAGGAAATTCTGTATAACTCAGAACTTCATTTGTGCTGAACTTCAGCAATATTATTTTAAATAATACCACTAACACTATCTAAACCTATTTTACATATTTTAGTTCTGTTTTTTAAACAAAAGGGCCCATAGGTTTTTACAACTGAATTCAAGTTAAGTTGGTGTTCTCCTGTAAGAGAGAACAACAAAAAATATATCCTTAGCATCAATCCACAGTCTATACCTGGACATACCAATTACCATTTGGTGGCAAGTTTACTAAAAGATGGACTCTGCCCCTTCTGCAGTGATAGCTGTGTTGGCGCTGGTACAGGAGTAAGTACTTGCACAGTAAAGGAGGAGCAGTGATTTAACACTTGCAAATGACTGCACTAACCAAAATCTAAGCATAGTAGTCCCTAAGAATGTTCATTCTCTTTAAGAATACTGAAATATGCCTATTCTCGTGAAGATTACAGCTCCTCCTTCCAGGTACCATGCAAAGCTGTGAAGAGAAGTCTCTACCTGCTCCAGTGTTGAAAATTAGACTACATAAGCACTTCCACAGGTGAGCCGCCTCAGACCACTTCTTCCAGACATTGATGAAACAAGTATAGGTTGACATGTCAGAAACAGAACCATTCCTCACTTCCCTGCCCTTGTAGACCCATCAATCTTAAGTTTAAAATGAGTAAGAACAGCTTTTTCCCCATTAAAACAACTCTTTGGTCATGGACAAACTGAAAGACTTGAATTATTTTTCATTAGGATCCCGGAACAAGGTTTCTTTGTTTTTAATCTTTAAAAAAAAAATTAAGAAGAGCAGAAAACAGTTGGTTTAATTGAAGTGGAATTTAAATCTAAACGGTCCTCCTGAGCTGAAGGGATTGAACCCTTGCCATGAGTTCCAGCTTCTGTGGAAAGGGTTGCCACCACCTCCTTGTTGGCTCTCTGCATCCAGAGGATCTTCTCCATCATCAAATTTCTTCCTCATTTCTAGAAAAGAAGTCAGCAAGTTAACACCCAAGTATTTCTGGGTGTATAGATACAGGTCTATAATCCCAGCACTCAGGAGGGAGAGGCAGGAAGATAAGGAGTTCAAGGTCAGCATGGGATATAGCAAGACCTTGTCTCAAAAAAATTAATAATGATAAAAATCCAGGTGTTAACTAAGGTATGGGTGTGGGGCTTTGGGAACTGTTTCACTCATGTAAACAGTTGTAACAGCATGGCACCACCCTAACCTTCAAAATGAAATCTTTTAAGCTACAACCTCACCAACCCCCATTCTTACCCCAAGCATCTAATAACATTTATAGAGCCTCAAATACAATCTATTCTATGAGGAACAGCTCTAAGGTTCCTCATACAGAACAGGAGTGAAAAACCCCGTAAAGTACCACTCCAGGAGGCTCACTTCCCTCCCATGTGACTCTTGCCCCACTTAGTCCTGAGAAGAGAGAGATCAATGCAAGCACACAGGAGAAGGATGCAGTGAGAAATGCTATGGGGATGGGAAGAAAGCAATTAGGAAAAGATAGCTCATCTTGGGCTGGTAAGTGCCTGCCGAGCAAGCCCTGAGTTTAAACTCCACCGTTGGAAAAAAAAAAAAAAAAAAAAGATGGCTCATCAGAAAATAAGAACAGGAAAAAGGACCTGCAGTTCTTTTCTTGATTCACACCTCTGTGATGGTCAGCTCCCCTAACACTCAGCTCCAGAGCCCTCCCTAAAGAAAACTCCTGAGTCTGCTGATGAAGCTGCCCCACCCTTGCACCACACAGGCTGAAACATTCAAGGTATATTGTAGGCACTGATAATTGCTGAAGGACAGAACAGACAGTGTATATTGCTACTGTATGTAGTGAAGTACACCTCTGACTCCCTTACTGGAGTATCAATTAATTAGGATCATTTAACTTCAATTCCACAACATGAATAGGTATCCAAAGAGGGCCAAATTTGTTTAACTGAATCTGTGTAGCTCAAATCAGAGATTCTGTCCTCAGCCATTAAAAAAAAAAAAAAGCAATAGGTCACTGAACATTAAACTTTCTTTGGAAATGGCAAAACATTCAATATTATCTCAATTCTTAGCCTGTCTCCCTTTTTTACTTCCCATGCCATATTAAGGTATGACAAAAGAACACATATCTACCAGAAAATCTAATCAGTGGACTTTGAGCAACACTGCTCGTGAACACACCCATTGTGGCATAGCAGGCCCTGGCTAGCTGTCTACTCTTCCCTGATCTCTGTATAATTCAGCCTGGTACTCTGGTTTCTTCATCAAGCTCCTAGAAGTTTGGTAGAGAGAATTCATTATTGACCTGGGAAGTCGGAACGAACCTAAGAGATCCTGTGTTTTGGTCAGTGCTCTGCTCTCATATCATTGGTGAAAACTAAGGCCTAAAAAATTGTAACCTGTTCAAGTAGAAAAAAGATTCAAATCTGAGAGTCCCCAGAGTCAGATGGGACAGACATATAATACATTAAAAAGAAAATCATCAACTGCACTATTTGAAGAGAACAGAAAGATATTGAAGGTAAATGATACCTGGATCAGAAAGGACTTCTTTAGCGGCTGCTATGTCAATGAACTTTTTCTCAGCTTTTTTCTTTTCTTCTTCATTCTGGAAGTTATCTGGGTGCCACTGCAATGCTAATTTTCTGTATGCTTTAATGATTTCTTGCTTTTTGGCATTTCTGAAGGATGGTAGAATTAACAATTATTAGTTAAGAAGTATCCAACCTACTGCCTAAAAAAATTAGAAGAGCTTTTCACTAGAGATAGAGCTCAGTGGTAGAGTGCATGCCTCACATGCACAAGGCTCTAGGTCCAATCCCCAGCACCACAAAAAAAATTTAATAACATTTTTAATGGCTATTGGAGTGCCCTGGCTATTTACGACCTGGTTTTTCTAATAGTTCTAATAGTATAGGCCTAAGATTTGACATACAGTGCTGGACAATCATTAAAAAGCCAACCAGGCTTCCTTAGACTTGTTCACTAAGAATCTTAATGAGAATAAAAGAATGTCCTGATTTTTACAACTGTCCTCACTGAATTGCCATGATTCAAAATCACTGCCATGATTCAGTTCTTTCTTGGCATTAAAAAGATACTTTTTGAACATTTTGCTTTGGGATTTGCTTACTTAATATTAGTAAGAACAAAGTTTCAGACTTTGTATTAAAAGTTGACAGTTCACTTGGCCAGGAAAGATAACTCTTATAATAAAAGCATAACTTCAATTTTAGGCCAAAAGGAGATTTTTTTTCTTTTCCCCATCTTCACCTCCCCTCCCCTCCACACACACATATACACACATCCCCATCAAAAGAAAGCTCACTCCTACTTCTTAATCCTTTCTTAAAAAAAAAAAAATATCTAGGCTTAGGACTTACTCTTACCACAGCCTTTGCCACCAACTTCTAATTCTATTATTGTTACAGATCTCTATCAAAGAAATTTGCCCATAACATATTCAAAATAGCTTTATGATGTTAAAGACTGTTAGAATAACATATAACTAAAATTGCATTCGTAAATATAATGGGGGAAAAAGGAACAGCAATCAGCTTAAAATTGTTAGCAGTGCAAATTTTAAATGAATAATTCACCTTTTTACTCCCAAGATTTTATAATAATCTCGTTTCTGTGACTGTTTCAATAGTCTCTGTGCTTTCTCTAGGCCTTCCCGAATCTGCTGATCATTTTCATTGTGTTCCTGAGCAGTTTCATAATCCTGAATAGCTGTCAAAATATGTTTAAGATAATGCTGTTAGGGGGAATTATAATTCATTGCCTTTAGTTATCCTGCAAAATTGGTAGTAAAGCCATCATCTCCAGCTTTTTCTCTTTTACCATTATTGCTGAGCCTAAGTGATATTCGCTTCAGAATTTTGTTCATAAACTTACAAAAAAACATAATTAAAACTGAAGTGAAGTAGCTTCTTATTCTCATTTGACAAAATTCACTGCTGTTGGTTTACTTGCCCACCTTCCCACATTATCTCCCCACACTTCCTTCAAGGTATTTTAATATCAGTACTTTATACAGAGCAATTTTACCAACTAAGATGAAGTGACTGTTAAATAGGAAAGTAAGACATAGGAAAGAAAATTTGCATGGTCGGTTATGGGCTGACAGTTTGGAAGGAGAAGAGGTTAGAAAGGAGCAGGATGAACTATCAGCAGTCAGGATGGATACGTCCACTCCAGTTTCAACAGACTGTAGCCAACATAATTTAAGTGTCAATCAGAACACACAGTCCTAGTATGAAAAGTTTTGACATTCCACATACATGTTTTGTTTTAGAGTATTTTAAATATTTAGATAGCAAAAGGCATCTGGATATCTAATATGCAGGAAAAAAAATTAACATAGAAGGCCTAAGAAAGGCCTGCTGCGCCTACAGAATGGGAAAAAAATCTTTGCCAGCTATACATCTGACAAGGGATAAATAACCAGGATATACAGGGAGCTCAAAAATAAAACCTCTCAAAGAATCAACAACCCACTGAATAAACGGGAAAACAGACTGAACAGACAATTCTCAGAAGAAGAAACACAGCAGGTGCCAGAGGATCACTCCTATAATCCTAGCTACTCAGGAGACAGAGATCAGGAGGACTGCAGTTCAAAGCCAACCTGTGCAAATAGTTCTCAAGACCCTATCTCAAAAAAAAAAAAAGAAAAGAAAAAAAACAGGGCTGGCAGAGGTGGCTCAAGTAGTAGGGCACCTCCCTAGCACGTGTGAGGCCCTGAGGTCAAACCCAGTACTGTAAAAAAAAAA